ATATCGCGATATGACAAAACACGATTTATTTTTAACCGCAAGGGCTGCGATTACATTCTCGTCACGTGACATGCGAGAGAGTAAAGCAGTTTGCAGAGGAAGCATCAATTTGGCACACTACGCATATGCCTGGCCTACAGAAAAGCACACTTTGTTTAATCTATCTAATATTGTGTTGGTCATACTATACAATAGAGATGGGAGAAAAGATTCTCAAACGATTCTGGATCGATTCTGAGCTTAGTTTTTAACCACAGACATTTAATCTTGTTTTCATCAAACAAACAGTCAAATGAATAGCTCGACACAACTCATACCGGGGAAGAGTCTAGACAGGGCTTTCTTCTGTGTAGATATAAATTCTATTCTTTGCATCAGCTGGGGATGGCAGGGTATGATATGACAGCTGTCATAGCCTACCCTGCTCACCCAGTAAGTCTGTTTAATTCATTAAAATAAATATTTTAAACACTAAGACATAAAGGAAAGAATAATAAATTGGCTTGGGTTGACCTATGTTCAAGCAAGAACTGTCATTCTGACTGACAACCGGAGAACAACAGATATTAAATAGCCTACTGTTAGAGTTATATAATCAGGGATTGAAATTAACTTTTTCACTCACCAGCCAATTTGGCTACTACATTTTTAAGTTACCGGCCATTCATAAATTCTACTAGCCAGAAAATAAAAAAAACAGAAATAAACTACCAGCTTGAGGCTGTCTACATTGAACGTGACAAAGCGACCGCTGCAAATCTTTTTTTGTCAGAACTAGGGGTGTGCGATATTGGCAAAAAATTATATCTCTATTTTCTGGAATTTTATCGATAAAGATAATTAGACCATATTTTGCTGAGTGTGTTATTGTGCTGATATCTTAAGGACTACCGTGGACAGCTGACTCCTAAAGTTTTTTATATATTTCATATTTTGTGTGGTCAGTTCACAGCAGTGATAGAAATTAATCTTTTCCAATAAGTTTAAATTGATTTTTACCTTTTATGTGCATTTTACCTTTTATAAAGCCATTTTCTCTAAAAGTGTGCATCATCTTTTGAGTCAAATTCTTACATTTAATCAGTCAATTATAATAATAATACATTTAGGCTGATACTAAACGAATGAAATCAGTATCAACTAAATTTATCTTTGCAGAAGTTCCATACGAAGTGGCGTTTAGATGTATTTACATATGTTAATGCAGCTTAGAGGGACATGGAATGATTTAACCTGCAGTTACAAATGCATAAATAATGTTTTGATATTTTAAACATGAAATTTTGAATACTGATATTTGAAATAATTAAAAAAATGAAAAGATACATTAGATGTAAAATTAAAACAATTAAAACCGCCAGTAGGTGGCAGCAAGTCACTGTTAATAAGTGAGTCATTGTGGATGAACCGAATCATTTAAACGGTTGACTCATTCAGGAACAAAACACCGTCATGTTGCAAAACAATGCTGTGGCTATGTTTGAAATTATTTTTGTTGGCGAAATAGAGCAAAAGCAGGCATGGTGTCTAAAACGTAAGTCTCTTGATATTAACTTATTGTTTATTGAACTGTTGTATAAAATAAATTCACAAATCACATTTGTAACCATGCTGATTTTTTATTTAAAACGGCACTCTTCGTGTGATATTGATTAACTAGATGAAATGATATAATATAAATTTTGTGCCCCCTTATCTTGAATTATGTGATCATTCTTAATGCATATTAATAGACTGAATCATGCACTGAAAGAACGCACTCTAAATGCCTACGTGCACTAAGTTAATGTAGTTGCTTACAGGTGCATCTCAATAAATTAGAATGTCGTGGAAAAGTTCATTTATTTCAGTAATTCAACTCAAATTGTGAAACTCGTGTATTAAATAAATTCAATGCACACAGACTGAAGTAGTTTAAGTCTTTGGTTATTTTAATTGTGATGATTTTGGCTCACATTTAACAAAAACCCACCAATTCACTATCTCAACAAATTAGAATATGGTGACATGCTTGGTGTGCTTGACTGGCCAGCAAACTCACCAGACCTGAACCCCATAGAGAATCAATGAGGTATTGTCAAGAGGAAAATGAGAAACAAGAGACCAAAAAATGCAGATGAGCTGAAGGCCACTGTCAAAGAAACCTGGGCTTCCATACCACCTCAGCAGTGCCACAAACTGATCACCTCCATGCCACGCCAAATTGAGGCAGTAATTAAAGCAAAAAGAGCCCCTACCAAGTATTGAGTACATGTACAGTAAATGAACATACTTTCCAGAAGGCCAACAATTCACTAAAAATTTTATGAAGTATTCTAATTTGTTGAGAGAGTGAATTGGTGGGTTTTTGTTAAATGTGAGCCAAAATCATCACAATTAAAAGAACCAAAGACTTAAACTACTTAAGTCTGTGTGCATTGAATTTATTTAATACACACATTTCACAATTTGAGTTGAATTACTGAAATAAATGAACTTTTCCACGACATTCTAATTTATTGAGATGCACCTGTATGCGGATGCATGCGCTCTGTAGGTGTGTTTTGTTTGGTGTTTGCAATATTCTCGATAATGTAATACTAATGAGTTCAGTATTTGCGCTAAACCTGCGCAGATTTGGCTTGCATGAACTTCCCCAAGAAATTAATGAGTGAACATAACTTACAAAAAGTAACCCGCCAAATTGGCTAGTGATTTGACAGCGTTACCCGCCACAGCTGATTTTTACCCGCATTTGGCAGGTTGGCAGGTGTTAATTTCAAACCCTGTATATAAAGTAGTCTTGTGTTTTATTAAGATTGAGTATAATTGATATCTCAAAAGGATATGCACTTGTGCGCGACATGAGCTGCTGCGCACTCTTACTGCAACGCAAGATTTTCATAAAATATAATAACTTGCCATTACCATTTGTTTCTCACCAAACCCTCAGTATACCTTCAGAATGCACAGGAAATTGTAGAAATCAAATATTCAAGCGGTTTATAAATTTTTCCACCCAAGAACAAAAAACGAAAATTTAAGCTGAATTCTTGTTTTTCGTTTTTTGGGAAAAACACGAAAAAGGATCCGTTTTCTCATTTTTCTACTTTCAATATGAAATAAAAAATTAATGATCGAATGATACACGGATTCTAAAGATTCCAACCCCTACAATGATTTATTGATTGTCTTTGTTGAATAATACAGAAGATAAAGAGCTTAAAAAGTAATCGCATATTAAATCGCAATCGCAATATTGGTAAAAACAATCGCAATTAGATTATTTTCCAAAATCGTTCAGCCCTAGTACTGACACAAATTTCAAATGATTTTCAACGGTCTCTTTGTCGTGTCCAGTGTAGACATGGTGTTATAGTTTTTAATATTTTGAATTAGCTTTTATTTTTTATATTTTCAGTTTATTTTATTATATAAAAAAAATATTTTATTAATTTTGTGCTTTTGTAATTTTTATATATTTGAAAAATATTTTTATTTTTTATATTTATTTCAGTTTGTCATTTTAGTTCTTATTTTAGTTTTTATACTTATTAGAACTTATTTTAAATTAATTGGATGCCAATGCAAGTTTCTATTTTATTTTCTACATTTAAATAAATTTTCGTTTCATTTCAGGTATTGAAAATTATTTTAATAGTTTGCTAACAATAATAACAATGCTGCTCACTTCACAAAGACTGATGTTCATTTAACAGCACCACTGTCCTGGGATTCCCTTACTTTTTCCAGAATTTCTATTGCAAACAATAATTAAGTGGATGTTTTTCGAAATGGCAAGTTCATTATACGTTCATTGTCCCAGTAATTTTTACAGTAAATTTGTTTGAAACATTGGAATGTTTTAAAATGTTAAATTAAACATGTCTCATCATAACTTATTTCACAGAGTGAATGAAGCGGTGTATAACATTTTGTTGATGCCGTCAGTACTTTCAAATTACATTCTTCAAGATTGTTAACTTAGGCTGAACTATCTAGCATTCAAGGTGGAAAAAGTAAATTCATCTTTTCCCAGACAGCAGAAAATAAAACTGCTTGACCTTTTTCTTTTCACACCTTTATGCGTCTGTAGTTGCATCGGGCAGTTTGACTTTTTCATTCTTGTTTTTCTTCTCGCCTTTATGACCAGTCAAGTGTGATCACCTCAAAATACCGACATGCTTGCCTTGGTCACACTGCTAAGCTGTAAAACAACCTCATCTTATAGAAAATGTCTAATAATAATAACAAACTGTTTTTCTCAAACTAACGGATACAGATTGTTACTGTGTATGTGTATGTGTGTGTGTGTGTGTGTGTGTGTGGGGGGTGGGGGGGGGGGGGGGGTTGGTTTAAGCATGTGCATTAGTCAGTCTACACCTTGATTTCTCCCGCCCACCTGTCTATCACCACCACACATTTAATTTCTCCGTCAGAGGAAGCTGCTGTGCTATGACCCCTCGTCCTATTAAATTGTTGTTCAGTCCTGCCTGCTGTTAATCCTCAGGTCTCTAAGCCTCTGTCCCAGCAGCCCCGGAGATCTGTTTTTACAGCTTCTATTATCAAACGATGATGTCGATGGAGACTCAAATGCCAACACCCTTCCCAAGGTTGGGAGGAATCACAGAGAGCAACTATTGACATTCTTCTGTCTATCTTGCTCTCTATCTCTTTATTTGTGTGGACTCTGTCTCCCTCTCGTTTGGTCTCTTTGCCCTCCTTACATGGAGCTCTGTATCTGTCTCCTCCTGGTTTTAATTTGAAGTTTTGTTTGTCTTTGAATTCTCATGTCATCTCCTGCCAAGCGAGGAGGGGGTCTGTTTGTGCAGGCTTTAGTTTCCCACACAGAGCTCCCTATGTCCCTATGCTCCATCATCCAATCTCTCACTCAATCTCTCACTATCTTTCCACATCTCTATTAGAGCCCGACCGATATATAGTTTTGCCGATATTATCGGGCGATATGAGCCTGTCGCAGATATATCGGTATTGGCGTATATGCCGCCGATATGAATTTTTTTTTTACAGAACATATAACGTAGATGATATTAGTGCTGTGTTCGATACATCGATACGACGATGTATCGTCACAGATTTGAGCTGGCCCTGTATCGATATTGTGGCACGTGTCAAGTAAAGTCAAGTCAAGTTTATTTGTACAGCGCTTTTCACGATACAAATCATTGCAAAGCAACTTTACAGCAAATTAATTTTCTACAATATTTAATGGTAGCTTATCAGTGGTGACTGTCAGTTAATGTACATATGGCAGAAATGTACGGAAAAATCAATTTAAGACGTAATAAAACAGACAATGAACACTATTAACAGCAATTATTATATGATGCAATCAAACTTATAGCAAAATGTGGTAGTTCTGTATGTTGTTTCAGGATTGGCATCATCTGAGGTCCTCTGAGGGTTGGCATCATCTCTTCTCAGGTGTTCTGGATCCAGACTGAAGCTTGTGTAAATCCTTGTTACATCCCGTGGCAGAAAACAGAGAAACAAATAGAGGCATAATTAGCGTAGCTGCTGTTCCAACCAAGCAAAATTGATTAGTTTAACCCAAACTAAAGAATAATAATGTGCATTTGATCAGATATAACTGCAGTACAAGATTTATGAGATGCATTATTTGAATGCTTGGCCAAAGAGGTGTGTCTTTAATCTAGATTTAAACCGAGAGAGTGTGTCTGAACCCCGAACGTTATCAGGAAGGCTATTCCAGAGTTTGGGAGCCAAATGCGAAATAGTGTGCAGCAGTAGGCCGCGCTTAATTTGAATACGAGAGCACCGTTTAAAATGTCATAGAAAAAAATAATGCGAGGTTTCTAAAAAATAATGAATAGAGCATAATACATAGGCTACAGCAAGGTTTAATCTGGCCGCAGAGGAACACAACCAGAGTTGCCTGATATAAAGAGATGTAATCCCCGAAACAGAGCTTCCAAATTTGCGCAATACGGAAATATCTGCTAAGTGTGTTACTTATCTTTGTCAACCATGTGCATGCGCTCTCTCTCTACTGTGGATAAACGCGCTTGCTTTCTGAAAACACTGGTAAGCTTGCAGTTTAGCGATCTCCACTTCAATATTCTATTCTCAAAAAAGTGTAATTCATCAAGTGTTTATTTACACGAGAGCGAGAGAGAGGCTGTGTATGTATGAATTACCATCGTTTTGCCGCGTTTCTCTATTAACAGTGAAGCTGTGGCTTTAATTCCTTTAGAAACGATGATGTTACCAGCTCCTTGTTGAGAAAGATAATGTAGATCTTGAGCGATTAAGCTATTTTATTAATAAAATTGCGGGGCAGCGCTAAAAAGTTTATGCGCGCCCAACGTGATCTGTGTGAGTGACTAAAATCGCCTGTGCGTGAGATACAGTGAAGACAGCACTTTAGTTTAGAACCCTTCAAATTTTAATTTTAATTTTTTTAAATGTAGAAATTGTGTTAATTTGTGCAATGATAACCTACCAGCAATGTAAAGATGAGTTTTTAAATATATTAGTATGAGTACATTACAATATAAATGTATTAGAACGAGTACATTATTATTTATGGGCTTAAAAACAAGATGCAAACAATCAGAATATTGTACCTGGTGGGGAGTGCCCAATGTAAACATGAAACATATGCCATTACCTATAATGTACTGTGGTACAGTTATGGAGGCCCTTCATAATGCAGAGGTCAGCTGCCTGCTCTGCCAATAGTTAGAAATGGCACTACAGTATGCAGTGTTTAATAAACAGCTGTTTTACTAAATTCTGCTTTGGGGAAATTCAGTGCAGTCCTGTATCGTGATATGTATCGTATCGTGGCCTATGTATCGTGATACGTATCGTATCGTGACTTTGCTGGTGATACACAGCCCTAGATGATATGCTTCTAAATGGTGTAATTATATAGTTTGTCCAGCAGAATGTGCGCTATTGTTTGCTACTGGCGACCCAGGTCAGTGTAGAGATGCGCAGATGAGTCCGCTGCGTCAAATAAATTATCCGCCAGCCACCCACCACACCTATATTTGATCGTCACATTATAATGATTCTAATTCTTAGTTTTGCATGATGATATGATGAATGGATGGTGACGTTAGAGCTGATGATCTGTGCATTACTGCACGTGTCTGCAGCGCATTACGGCTCCGGCCACTGGAGCTGATCGCGGCCACTCAGTCAGTGCTTGTGTTTATACCCAGAACTCATGCTTATCACATCGGTCACATCACTTTTCCTAACTGGGTGTCTACACCGGACGCGAGCGGCGCGGCGCGACAAAATACAATAGAGCCCATTAATAATCAGTGATGCTGTCTACACTGGATGCGGTGCGACACGACAAATCCCGACAGCAAACTGATGCCTCCTTCTATTTATGACATACTGACACAGTTCAAATGATTTTCAACGGTCACTTTGTCGCGTCCTGTTGCGGCGCAGACACGGTGTGTCAGCATTAGGGATGCGCCGATCCAATATTCATATTGGGTATCGGCTCCGATAGTGCCATTTTTCTTGGATCGGGTATCGGTCAGAGAGAGCCGATCCAAATCCGAGATTTTTTTTTTTATTCTGTGTTACTACTGAAGCCATACGATAGCTTAATGTGAGCTACATATGAATATTTAAGTCCTTACATTAAAGTTCACACAAACTCTTTTCTCCGCTGTGGCTGTCAGTCATTCGTTCAGCCTTTAACGTTAAACCCTGGTCGCGTTTGGTTACAGCAGTCAGCTCGGTAAAGCTCTCTCCAAGATCGTTCTGTGTTCCCATTATACTTGATTTGTAAATACATGTCTATGATTTTGCAAAAAGGACTTTATCTTTTTAGTTTAATGTTGTTTTGTTACTTGCTGCCGGGTGTCTGTGAGAACAAAACACGGGCGTAGAAAAGACTATAAATTGGTTTTAACGTGCACAGTAACTGAAATTTAAAACTGTTAAAAGAAAGGCTCAATAACTGTTGCACA